TTAGCGAACTTTTTCCTGCCCATGAAGCTTTACACTGCACGTTGGGATACAGCCGTAGTGTTGATCCCGAACATTCGGAGCCTCAAGATTGCTCCAGTTATAGGCTGTTTTTGAGCCAGATGACACTATTTTTTGGGATTTTAGGAGTCCGTGTAGGACCCATTTTTAGCGTCCTTGGTTCAGGAGGAACATCCACAACTCATTGGTTTTTTTCGCCTGTTTTGGTTCATCTGGCTGGTACTGAAAGTCCTGCTGCAAAGGATGCGACATGCCCCCAAGGGGCCAGTGACCGCCAGTAGGATCGCCCTTTTTTGATCGGGCCATGACGCGCGAGCCGCCTGGACCCCTTTTTGAAATAGTCCTAGCCGCGCCAGCAGAAGGCACTGGCTTCAGAGAAAGCACCGAACTGTGATACTGTGAGATGAATGAGTCAATGAACGAGATTGATTCTCAAACTCTCTTCCCATAAAGATCTCACCAGATCTTATATTACCTGCCATTGGTGACTGCCATGTCTGTCCATTGTCTTGAGCCATGTACTTTAGAGACCGCCTGGTACCGCTGGGAGAGCTGGAATGTGACTGCGGAGTTGGCCAGTGGCCTCATGATCAGAAGGGATCGTGGCTACTGGAAGATAATACTTGCATGATGAAGTATGGACATGATATGACATGATGATAGAGAATCTTCAAATAAGGAATGAAGACATGTAAGTCCTATGATGATTTTTTTTGATGTTTTATCAGAAACCAACCATCTCCCTTGTTTCAATGGGCAGGGGACCCGCTTTTAAGGGGGTCCCCAGCATTGCCAAGGGTCAGCCATAGATCCTGTAATTGCTCCGTGCTCCCCGAATGCTGGATCGATCAACATCAAAACCGATGCAAAAAAGCTGACACTGCTCTGCACATCTGGGCTGATGTCGAAAAATGTCTGATAGCTTCAGAATGGAGCCGAAAATAAAAATGGATAGTTTTGTCTCATGATTCGCGCAGGCTGTCAAGACCAAGTATCGCCAGTCAGCGATGCAGGGAGCCAAGATGGGAGTGACAAAGGCAGCAAGTACCCTCCAGTGTAAACATGTGCTGGAAAATTCCCCATATATAGATGATTCTTCATCAAGACCTCCATTTAGTTCGATAATTCTCCGGTGGAAACTTTCATAAATTTTCATTTAGTTCGGGGAAATCCCAGCCATGTTTGATAGCAAAGTTAAATCACTGGTGACATTTAGGTCTGCGGAGATGCAGGAAGAGAGGCTTGGTCTTGACGAACTGCCAGAAGAGCAATTTTTCTACGCCCCAGTCGCATCACAAGTGTCATTGCCCGGAAACTGGTTTACAATAAACTACCCTAAAAACAGTGTTGCAGATTCAGCTTTTGCATTCAGTAAAGGCGCTCTTTTTCTTTGCGGGAAGGCAACTTTGCTTTGAGCTGATCGTAGAGAAAATGAAGGTGCCAAGGGATGAAACGTCATGGACCGTTGCCGGAGTTTCCATAGAACATGTTTGAGCCTTGTAACATTTCATATGTTCCATGGAAAATGTTTATAGCATGGATTCTCAACTATTATATTATCCATGGAACTCTTTAAGGGATTCTAAAGTAGCTTCCGGATGCTTCTCTTCCAAGCTATTGTGTTGAAACGAGCAACCGGCAGGCATTTAAGGCGCACTTCGATGCTGCGGAGACACTTGTCTGAACCGGCTAAACCGGGCGAATTGGGGAAACAAGGGGCAGTGGTGCTGAATTTAAATCTTTGATCATGCTATCATGCTATTATGATCTATTATGCTTTATGCTTTATGCTTGGATGTGGTACATGGAAATGCTCTGCGCGAATGAGCGTGACCTGAGCGTGAACAACAATCTAGCAAGGCTATGCAAAGCTTCCCGATCATTCCCACCATTGTTGCGTTGTCCTGTCTCCTTGAATTTGATTCGTTGCTCCAATATGTTATATTTCGTTATATTTCGTTCTTTGGTTTAATATGTTCATGTTGCATTGATAGAACTGATGTATAGATGTTTAGATAAATATTTTACCAACTTTTAATATTTCCTATACAGATAAAACATCAGGAAATCAGGGTCTGAGTGTGTCAAGTTCTATCAGCAGATCGCAGCGTGCCCCTCTCTGTGCGGAAGTCTGGTCAGCCTTCCATGAGTTTGTCTCAACATGGGAGATACCATACCTGAAAATTGCTATGTCAACAGGGAAAAATGGCGACACACACACACATGTAATATCATGTAATAATATATGTATATACACATTGTTCTATAAACTATAGGAATCTTTCCTCGGATGTGCCCTTCTTCAAATGCTGACGCCCAACAAGATCATTTTTTTCGCCATCGCCAAAAACCACGGATCCATGGGCATCTTTTTTCAACCAAGGCGCTGGTGCGATTTCATCGACCCAGCCACTGGCGCGTTGGGACCTCGGGACCGAGCGCGCCACTGGCGGTGTGCTTTGCGCGTTCAGCGCGAATCGAGGCCCTTCCATTCCGATTCATCCACTACTTTGATAGAGTGCATCATCCTCAGCTCAGAGTGGTGGAGTGGTTTAATTATGTTTAATTGTCAAATGTGTGTTGGCCTGAACAAGCTATTGGAATTGGAACGGATCAGTCACTTCTGCTAGTTTCAAAGCAAATCCGATCACGATCACCGATAGCAGGTGACGAGCGTTACCGGAGCCTGGGCTTTGAGGCACCACATATTTGTTTCTCTCTTGCCGAGTTCCAGCTTTTGCCAACCTAGTGCCATCATCATGCTGAACAGCAGTTGGCACCAAAAAGTGCTTTTAGTCGCTTCTGAACAGCAGTGCTTTTTGGTCTTTTTGATGGACTCATCTCCTGAAAAAAAGAAGAATGATCCAATGGGATGCTCCGCTTTCATCCATTGACCGCTGAAACACGTGCCAGATTTTGGAGCTGGGGTGCTGCAGAGCGTTGTGCAACGAGTCCTTTGGACAGTGCTTGGTGATGACTTCAGCCTTTGTCCAGGCAGTGGAAGTGATGTTTGGAGGCCATATGGACTCGAGAATGGGCACGTTCCCACATATTCATATAGGTTCTTTATTGGGGCTTAGTGACTAAGTGATCATCAATGTTATTCGGACGATTGTTGTTGCTGTACTATTCTGACTATTGTTGTTGAGTATGGGCGTTCTTGTTCTCGTTCATGTGCTCATCCTCATCCTCATCCTCGTCCTCGTCCTCATCCTCCTCCTCATCCTCATCCTCATCATCATCATCATCATCACCACCACCACCATCACCACCATCTCCATCACCAGCATCTCCATCACCACCATCATCTCCATCACCATCACCACCATCATCAGCATCACCATCCATAGCAATGGAACGGATGGTCAACCCCGCCCTGTGACCAGCCATTCAACAGCAACCAGGGAGACGATGTGCAGAGCGCTCTGCCATTGTTAGAGACAAAGGTGCCTGAGGCACGGGCAAACTACTTCGCCGATTGTGGGAGTCAGTGGAGCATCATGTTCAGGGTAGAGTAGATCGAGAGGATGTTGCTTTGTGCCTTCCATTTCCAGCAATTCTTCTCAGACGACTTGGTCCGGATGAGACAATTTGTTCATTGCGCTTCAATTTGTTCACATCCTGTCCCCCGACTGGCAGGACAGCAGCAAAGGACGGGCCAAATTGGATGTTGGCTCAGCGTTTTGCTGGGGCTTGGAACTTGCCGAATAGCTACAACTGGAACTCATAGCAAGAGTCCCTTAACTGTGCACTAGGATGAATAAAGGGCTTTTTGCATGGAATGGTAACATGGTAGTTGTGCTTGGCGGAGTAGCTGCTTCTTGCAATTTGGTGCAGGCGTTGGAGCGAAACCGGATGCGCCCTTAAAGATTGTTCCAGACGTCAAAGCGATAGCAGGCGGGACTGTCTTGCCAGCCTACAAGGCTCAATTTTTTTCTATTCCCACGCTAGTGACATTATTGACATTTCCCTCACAGTTTGCCTTATTCTTTCTTTGGACCATATGTTGGGGTTTTATGAGTGGTTCATGTTGAAGGGAAGATGTGCAATCATTTGCGTAACAGGAACAGTTTGATGGCAGGAAACAAGCAGGTGTAATATTCGCAGGCGAAGCTTCCGCGCGGCCAGCTGCAACTAACGGCTACGCAGCGGGATGAAAAGTCGCGTGGCGTCATTGAAGGGTTATTCCAATTTTGGATATGGCATCCCAGTTTTGTTTGTGCATCATCTTTGTTGGTGAAACATCGCCACTCTTGTTGGCGACAGATCTCTTTGTTGTTGGGCGATATGTAGTTCTTTGATGAGTCCACCCGAAACAGCGAGCAGCAATCCCATGGCCAATGGTATGAGTCTTCAGCCACCGCTCTTTTCATTCGCTTTGACCTCTCTTCCAGGCTCATCTTCGCAAATTCTACGCAGATTTGCAACAAAGAGACAACACTCAAATTTTGTCGCAGTTTCCAGTTTGCCTCATGGCCCCTGAGAAAGAGAACGCCACCTGTTGCCTCTGACCAACACCCATAATGCAGCTTCAAACATATTGTTGCAAACATTTTTCTGCGATACTTATGGTTTCGTGGGGCTCTGCCGTTTGAGCCTCAAGGGACTAGAGACTAGCAGGGTGTGAGCGGCTTCTCACCGAGTTTGATCCACGAACTGCTTGAACAATGATTCAATGTTTGACATCCAGATGTCACGATCTAGCATGGCATGAAGACAATTAACTCAATTAACACTAGAATCCATTGCTATCCCATTCCATTAAGCACTCCAAGGTGCTTGCATGTGCCCTTGGCTGGTGCCAGCCGCGGATGGTGATGGCACAAGGGTGATCCCAACTGTTTTGAAGCATCCATGTATGAGTAGAGCTAATGAAATCTGTGATGCAGACGCTGCATGAAATTCTCGCCTGAATGTAGTCTTGGCTTTGCAAAACCAGTTTGGACATGGCCGTGACATGTGCGTCCTGACCGTTTAGGAGACAGCAGTGACAGCAGGTTCAATTTTTGCGTATTTTGTGGGTCGCCATGGTAAGAGTCCGTGGAGCTGAAGCCCTCACAGGCCGATTTCCGAAAAGTTGGTGAGTCATGAGTTGTGCAGCGAAGCAGTGGTGCTTGTGTCGAATTTGACTTTGAAATCACCATCAGCGCAATCTGCTGAGGCTTCCTGATCCTGCTTCCTGCATGGGCATCTCTGAGAGGAGCAGAGCTGAACAACGAGCACGGGCCTCGGAAATGTCACAGAATTGGATGATTTGGAGGAAACGATGCATATCAACACAGCAATACAGATTGTCAGAGGATGTCATTTTCGATGGGTGCCCATTTTTCCAGTTATGAGTGTCATTTTTCACATAAAACTGGTGCCATTTTCCCCTCCTATTTACCAACTTTTTTTCGGGGCCAAGTGCAGCCTCCTATCTGAGGACGCAGCGAGCGTCACCAGTGAAGCCAGTGCCCTCAAAGATCACTGGATGTCCAGCAGCATATATGGACTGTGGCACCTGCCGATGCGCCCCTGCAACTGCTTGTGAGACGGGTTGCGGCAACACAGCAGTTCCAGCACGCCTTCCAACATCTCCAACATCTCCAGCAAATGATAGAACCTTTGGACCTGTTTTATCAGGTTTTATCATGCTTTTATCAGGTTTTATCATTGTTTTTAAAACATGTTTTATCATGGTATCATGTTTTATCATGTTTTTAATAATCGTTTATCACGATTTGTCAGATTTTGGGATCTTTGGGTCCATGAACCAGAACATCTTGAAACTTGAGGTATTGTGCAACTTTTCCTGGACCCAAACTACACGCAGTTGAACTCAGACTTGCTCTATCTAGTGGACCCAGAATTTCAAAGGGAAACTTTGATTGTTTCTTAACAATAAGTGCACAAGAAAACCATGAAATGGGTGAACCGGTGAACCATCCATCAAAATCCCGGACCATGAGGGGCTAAATATAGAGATGAAACTGATGAACCTCTGATGAAACCTCTGAGGCATCTCTACAGTGCCGTCCCGGATCCCTGGCTGCCCAGTTGGATATGTGGACTGCGGAAGCTGTCTGTGCACACCACCAACGAGTTGCCCAACTTTCTGCGGACTTTCTCCGAGTCCCCCAGTCCTGCCTCCAGTTTGGCCGGGCCTGCCATTTGGCAATGGCTCCAACCTGACCAATGGAACCAACGGAACCAATTTGACGATTGTCATCAACGTGACCAATGCGACCAACGTGACCAATATAACCAATATAACCAATGTAACGGTTCCGCAGCTGATTTCCAGACCTTCCCAGGTGCCATACTGTCCTCAAAGCTATGTTGACTGTGGCTCATGTGTTTGTGTGCCATTGAGCACATGCTACTACTGTCCTGGAGCCTGGTCTCCAGCCCCAGGCCTCCCAACAACCCCTGCCCTGCCAGCACCAGCCCCTGCTCCACCAGCTGTGGTTCCACGACCTTCCCAAGTGCCAGGATGCCCTGCCAACTACTACGATTGTGGCACGTGCCAGTGCGTTCCACACAGCACCTGCCAGTGGTGTCCAGCTGGAGGGTTTCCAGTCCCAGTGCGCCCACCGTCGCCACCAACTACAGCTCCAGTGCCATCGAGGATACCTGGCTGCCCGGCGAATTACTACGACTGCGGGACCTGCCAATGTGTTCCTCACAGCACCTGCCAGTGGTGCCCTGGCAGTTCGGTACCAGCACCAGCGCCAGTGCCACTGCCAGCACCAGTGCCGAGCCCATCACCAGGCAGTCCAGTGCCTTCCAGAACGCCTGGCTGCCCTGCCAACTACTATGACTGTGGCTACTGCGTATGTGTGCCTCGTGGCACTTGTCAGTGGTGTGGCGGATTTTCTTTTGTTGCTGTAGAATCTGTAGAGGAGGCAAACCACTCAGATGATCGCACACTGCGAATCTAGGTGGCTCCATTGTTTCTTTAGACCCAATCCGAATCTGCAGCAAGTGTCACTTGCATGTAAAGCTAGCAAGTTGAAAGAGAGCAATATACAGTCTACAACATAATTTGACGTGCACCTGGACAAATATGGCAACTGGTTGCTTGGAAGCATGAACAGATTAAAAAAAGCTTTTTGTCCTTGGCCCAACCATGTTTTGAAGGGAAGCAGTTCCAAGAACCAGCTGGTTGAACAAAATCCTTTTGCCTTCGTCGCATAGGCGGCTTGTTTTTATTCAACCGGCCTTGGTCCAGACATGGACGTCGCAAAGTGGCGCCTGCAAGAGTCAGGTTGCGTCTCTGAAAGTCCTGGACAAAAGGCAGCGCGCATGGAAAGTCTTGAAGATTCCTGAGACGCATGCCTCTGGTAATTTAACATAGCTATTGAAAATGACCATTTATAGTGGATTTACCCACAAAAAAATGTGATTTTCCATAGTTATGTTAGTTTACCAGAGGCTAACATGTGTCTCTCTGAGCTAGACGCTCCTTTGGAAAGGACCTCGACCTTCGCCACAGCATGGATTTTTTGTTGCCAGGTGTCCTGCCCTAGCAGAGCCCGGGTGCTTCGACAAGGACAGGCTGCGAACGTGCTTTGGTGGCTGGACGATGATCTGAGCTGCAGGAGTTCACCTGTGAGAAGTGTTGTGATACCAGGTGTGGCTGTGAAGGATGGGTTGTTTGTGCCAGGGTCTGAAAATGGAGGATACCAGGATGTCCATAAAATGGCAATTTCAAAGGGAAAAATATGATGGATCATTGGATTATATTGGATTTTGTGGCACCATATCTCCAGACAAACCCCGGTTTTCCCGCTGTTTCCTTGCCATTCTCGGAAACACAACTGCGATAGACGACTGTGACAGCTGAACAGGATCAGTGCTGTATTGGTTGCAGATACGGGCCAGACCGTTGTATCTCTATTATGGCTTTGTCTGAAAATGAGTGAACATGGGAACAGGGATGAACAGGGAACATGATCAGAAACCAGTGGATTGGGGGGCACCATATTTTTAGACACCCAAATATCAGATTGTTGGTTATTGTATATGTATATATATATAATATAATATAATATAATATAACATAATATAATATAATATAATATAATATAATATAATATAATATATATATAATATAATATATATAGTATAATATATATATACATACATACATACATACATACATATATATATACACACATGTCAATGTGTATATCATCCATTTAATCTCATGATCACCCCATAAAATAGTTGGTTTTATGCCCCCTGGTCCGGGGAGAACCTTCCGTGCCACGGTACGCAAGCTGCGCTTCGCTGCTAGGGCCATTCCTGTTGGAGAACTCAGCTGCTGGATGGGTGACATCCGCTTTCCCACTTGCTGTGGCCTGACAAAGCTGCCTGGCGGCAACGGCTGCAGTTTTGCTCGGGAGTCTTGACATGTTTGAAGAATTGGGGAGCTTGAAGACTGAATTATCAATGATGATCAATAATTATGGATGAAATCAATATCTAATTTTCAATGATGGTCAATGGTTATCACTATTTCATACTATTTCCATCTATTTCCCACTTCTCCTGCGTACCTAAATCTTCACTTTGAGGGATTGATTAAGGATTCTCAATGGATTTGGATTCTTTTTTTGCATTGGCATGGAACGCTGCCTTCCCGAGGTTGCGCTTTCAGGCTTCCTGGGCTTGACTTTGGCTGGCACAGTGGAATCCACAGCTGCAAAAACGTGCTGTTGGGTGGTCATGCGTCCCTGTAGCATATCCTATACTTGTATCTTACTTCAATGGTCACAGTAATAGGTATGGCGACACGTCTTTTGTTGCAGTGGCCATTGAGTTTGTTTGAGAATATGATATGATATGATATGATATGGTATCCCATAATTGAGCGATTAATCATTGTTGTCCCAATTTTTTTCATTCACATATTTCATATTTTCCCACATTTTACGGCTGTTTGGGGAGTATCCTATGCCTCTTTGGGAGGCAGCTGCGATGCTGCCAGCCATGGATCACTTGTCGTCTCCCGCGACCTGCCCCCCAAATGCACAGGCGGCGGCTCGGCTTCTTTTTTTTGGTCCAGGGGATGTCACAAAAAAACATGGGCTGAACCCTCCAAATCCTCATTTTCATGGGGAAAATGATGATAACATTATGATGATAAAGCCACATAAAACTATGGGGTACCCTCTGGTAAACTGTCACATAACTATGGAAAATCACAATTTTTAATCGGAAAATCCACTATAAATCACCATTTTCAATAGCTATATTAAATTACCAGAGGGTAGACCATATTGTAAGACAATTTAAGACAAACCCAGTTGGCATCTTATCTACATTTGGATGGTCCCTGGAGAATATGGCCAGGCCCATTGCTTTGATGCCTACTTCCCCTGCGAGCGGTGTAGTGAACTCAGCATCATTGCGGCTGCCAGTGAAACTTGGATGGGAACAAAAATGGGTATGGGTCATAACCGTTGAAAACCTATGAAATAACAGATGTGGGGGGATAACATCCAGCTATACAAGCTATTTTGGGGTTCACCAGGGTACTGAGTGTAGTACTGAGTGGGTTTTGACCCATACCCAAATTGCACTCGTACCAGCAGTTTGCTAAGCGAGGCTGTGACACGCGTCGAGGAGCTCAAGGGGACTTGGCTTGTTGGGTGGGCAACTCAGCGTTTGCCAGAGGAGGATTAGGAAGAGGTGGAAAGAGGATAAAAAAGATGAATACTAGAGTATGAAGCAGATTGAGACGACAATGACGGACAAGAAAACAATGCTGGTCCACCTTGATAGACACACAACCTAATGCTGACAACTCATGGGGAACAGCTGCACAACTGTGAAGTATTCAGAACGGATTGTAGTGACCTTCTATCCTAGGATAATGAAAGAGATTCAAGAAATGACTCTTGGAACATGTTACCAGAACTTCATTCCCCTGTTCCTCCATTCCGCCTTGACCCGGCCTGCAGCCCGACACCCAACCCATGGGCTTGCGAACACTGAGCTCGGATTCCCAGCGCCAGGTAGATGTCTTGACAATTCAGTTCTTCGAAGTTGCTTTGAATCACTGAACCAGCTGATTCACGGAAACTTAGATCTCTTTCAGATTGGCTCAAGTTCAACCAGTAGGATGGAATTTGCTTCAGCAATGGGTTGCGGCGCCTCCCTGTATGAAGTGGATCAACAAGCAAAGCTTGAATCTCCAAAGGAGGCCAGCACCTTCCACTTCATTCTGAAGGAGCATCCTGCTGTCCTTCGGAAAAACCAATCCCAAAGATTGCTGGGTCCCTGGGTCTCGTTCCCAGAAAAGTTCCAAGCAGCATGGGAATCCCTGATGACACATGACACCGCCCATACGCTTGGCCAGCATTCAGACGACAATCCGCAGCAATGTCTTTGTGTACAGTGTACAGATCTGCACCGATGAGGAGAAAGCAAAACGGAGAGAAAGAACAGAAGCGAAGAAAGAAAAGTCGTATGGTTTTCGGAAAGGCGACTGAAAAAGAACATCTGCGCAGCTGTGGAAGCAGAACGAGAGACGAGCCAAGTGGGACTGTGCTTCATTTGAGAAGTGGTTTCATCGAGTAAAGACAGCAGTAGAGTCGATCTTGGACAAAAACTCAAGGTGGATCTTCAGGATGGAAAGGGATGTGGTGGTTCCCCTATGGGGGAATTGCCAAACTAGAATCGATGAGACGTAGACGTAAAATCGATTAAAATCGGATATAAAGATGGATGCATTCCTCAAAATAGCTCAATCCAAAGCTGATTCATGTCCAAAAGTGGCCACCAAGGACCCTGCTTCATCCATGATCCCAGCGAAATAAATCTCTGCCGAACCAGAAACTGCTACAAAGGAGCCTACAGCGGTGGTTTAAGGCCAACTTCGGTTTGGGATGCCGACAGCACGATGCGCGGCTTCGCCCGCCGCGATCCGCCGGCAGCGGATCACGGCGCTCGAAGTCGTGCACGGCCCAACGTCGCTGCGCGAAAAAAGCGCGACAGAGGCGCCAAGCAATGCCAAGCATGAACAGCAGGACCGCTGGATTTCAAATATCGAGCCCCAAAATTTGAAATCCTCATACATCTCATACCTTGAGTTGCATCCTGTGATGAGAAAAGAGCATAGCGTTGGGGATTGGGGTCCGCTAAGCGTTTTTCGCACCGATACACCGAAATGTGTTCGGATAGAACATATAATATGGTATAAATAGATGACCGTAAAACACACACACACATATATATATATATTGTAACAGACGCACATATGACACATGTATTCTATTATATTCATATATATATGTTATACTATTACGTACGTGTATATACATACATACATACCTACATACATACATACATACCATAACATACCATAACATACCATAACATACCATAACATACCATAACATACCATACCATAACATTACATTACATTACATTACATTACATACATACATTACATTACATTGCATTGCATTGCATTGCGTTGCATTGCATTGCATTGCATTGCAGTGCAGTGCAGTGCATTGCATTGCATTCCATTCCATTCCATTCCATTCCATTACATTACATTACATCCATCCATCCATCCATCCATCCATCCATCCATACATACATACATACATACATACATAATATCTAATATATATATATATATATTTATTATAATGATATTATACACGTATGTATGCAGTGAGACATTGTAACCGAAGCAAGGCCCTCGCTTCTATCCTGATCTCCTTTGCCCAACAATTACACCTCTCTGGTTGCTGCCGAAAATCTCTACGTCGGATGAGGTTACAACTTCTGTTGCGGGCTGATGCCCTTTGCCAGCAGTGAGAGGATAGCGTGGTAAAAAGCTCGGAAGATCAGAAGACCAACAGCATCGATTTGCACTGGCACTTGGCTGACACTTAACAGCTCTGCTGTCACTCCAATGGACCAACAGACAAGATTCAGCAGCGTCATCAGGGATTTGGGTGATCCAAAATAGGTTTGAATTTGGGATGAACCATTGAGAAATAGGCTTGATCCCCAATGACACTCGGCAATTGATTGCATTCGAGACTGGTTTGGTCCCATTGATCGCATCCTTGACATTGTCACTTTGCTCTCAAGATACACTTTGCGTGACCAAAGCTGTCATAGCTGGTGGACCCAAGCAGCATATTCAATCCAATTGAGTTCGATCATGATGCACCTAATACAGAATGCAACCAAAATGCTCTTGATGCTGTGGGACTGGGATCCTTCACTCCTCTCACTTGTTCTATCCAGCGCCTGATTTGTTGAACAGGCATGATTTTGAAAGGCTAGGAAAGCGAGTTCGTGCAGGCGGCCCGCCAAAGCCATGGATGCTGCCAAGAACTTCTTAGATGCAACTGAGGAGAGGGCAGATTTGAATCAGTCCTTTGGCATCCTTTGGCATCCTTTGGCTAAGGCACTGTGAGACCGGCCACATTCCATTGCTGGCCCTTTGCATCCCTTTGTTTATATACAGGTAGATGGAGATTCTGGATATCAGATCTGTATAGATCGATCTTGGTACTTCCGCTGTCCACAAACACAGCTATGTGTTGGTGCAGCAACTGCAGCAAGCTTTTTCAGCAACTAGCCACCGTAGTGCCCGTAGTGCTCAGGTATTGGTTCTCCCCTGCCACTGTCTCCACCTTCGTGGCAGAGATTTGTGACAAGGGTGGCACTGCCGCGCTGGTCTCCACTCCATCGGTCTATTTTAGTCTGCCAGAGGCCAGTGATTCCGGTGGAGATGGCTCTGAGAGGACTCATTTTCTAACGGAAAAGCCCAAATCCCATGGGTATTTGCAGATATCGGATATCATTGGGAACATCCCATGGATATACAAAATCCATCAAAATCCCACATTTATCCCCATAGGCCCATAGTCACCATAGTCCATAGTTATGAAGCTCCTTACTAAACTGGCTATTTATTTGGAGCTATCCTTGCTGCAGGATGCGCGGAAGATGTGCAAGGTCCTGGACTTCGACCGTCAGTGGCAATCGGATCCAGGTGAAAGCCGGGGGCATTTCACAGAACCACAGTGATTGGTTATTTGTTGTTGATTATCATTAGTTATTGATTATTTGATATTGATTACCAGTAGTACCGCACAAGGCGGTGGCGGAAGTTTCAAAAATAGGAAACCTATAGGAGAGATTGGTTGTTGTGAATCAAGGATGGCAGAGCGAATGCACTGATGGACCGAAAGGTGCTTGAGGTCTCTTCTCTTTCTCTCTCTTTCTCTGACTGGAGAACAAACCGCGAATCAGAAACTTACCGCGAATCAGAAACAAAGAATCAGAAACTAAAAGCCGCGAATCAGAAACTAAAATCCGCGAATCAGAAACCAAAATCCCGCGAATCAGAAACCAAAAATCCCGCGAATCAGAAACTAAAATGCGCGAATCAGAAACAAAACTCCGCGAATCAGAAACTGAGAATCAGAAACTAAAAACTGCGAATCAGAAACTAAAATCCCGCGAATCAGAAACCAAACTCCCGCGAATCAGAAACCAAAATCCCGCGAATCAGAAACCAAAATCCCGCGAATCAGAAACCAAAATCCCGCGAATCAGAAACCAAAATCCCGCGAATCAGAAACCAAAAACCGCGAATCAGAAACCAAAACCAGAAAATCAGAAACTAAAAAACACACGAGAGCAGGTGCGTTTCGACTGAGGCAACAGACAGACTGTGACGTTGGGACTCTTCAGACACAGTTGAGTAAACCATATTTTGAACAAGCAGCTTCTGAATACTTGCCACTCCATGAAAGCTGCGACACTCTCAACTTCTTAAGAAATCAAATCCGCCACCCTCCTCTGGCCACTATGTTGAATAGGATATTACCTTCTACTTCACTTCAAAAGAAATTAAATCCGCCACCCCCTCTGGCCACTATGTTGAATAGGATATTAACTTCAACTTATCTTCATAAGAAATCAAATCCGCCACCCCCTCTGGCCACTATGTTGAATACGATATTACCTTCTACTTCACTTCAAAGGAAATCAAATCCGCCACCCCCTCTGGCCACTATGTTGACTAGGATATTACCTTCTACTTCACTTCAAAGGAAATCAAATCCGCCACCCCCTCTGGCCACTATGTTGAATAGAATACTACTTCTACTTCACTTCATAAGAAATCAAATCCGCCACCCCCTCTGGCCACTATGTTAGGATATTGCTTCACATACTTTTCTTCAAGAAATCGAATCCGCCACCCTCCTCTGGCCACTATGTTGAATAGGATATTACCTTCTACTTCACTTCAAAAGAAATTAAATCCGCCACCCCCTCTGGCCACTATGTTGAATAGGATATTAACTTCAACTTATCTTCATAAGAAATCAAATCCGCCACCCCCTCTGGCCACTATGTTGAATACGATATTACCATCTACTTCACTTCAAAGGAAATGAAATCCGCCACCCCCTCTGGCCACTATGTTGAATAGGATATTACCTTCTACTTCACTTCAAAAGAAATCAAATCCGCCACCCCCTCTGGCCACTATCTTGAATAGGATATTACCCTCTACTTCACTTCATAAGAAATCTAATCCGCCACCCCCTCTGGCCACTATGTTGAATAGGATATTACCTTCTACTTCACTTCAAAAGAAATCAAATCCGCCACCCTCCTCTGGCCACTATGTTCAATAGGATATTAACTTCAACTTATCTTCATAAGACATCAAATCCGCCACCCCCTCTGGCCACTATGCTCAATAGGATATTACCCGCTAATTCACTTCATAAGAAATCAAATCCGCCAACCCCGTCTGGCCACTATGCTACATAGGATATTAACTTCAACTTATCTTCTTAAGAAATCAAATCCGCCATCCTAAGAAATCAAATCCGCCACCCCCTCTGGCCACTATGTTGAGTAGGATATTACCCTCTACTTCACTTCAAAGGAAATGAAATCCGACAAACCCTCTGGCCACTATGTTGAATAGGATTTTACCTTCTACTTCACTCCAAAGGAAATCAAATCCGCCACCCCCTCTGGCCACTATGTTGAATAGGATATTACCTTCTACTTCACTCCAAAGGAAATCAAATCCGCCACCCCCTCTGGCCACCATGTTGAATAGGATATTACCCTCTACTTCACTTCAAAAGGAAATTATCCGCCACCGCCTCTGGCCACTATGTTGAATAGGATATTAACTTCAACTTATCTTCATAAGACATCAAATCCGCCACCCCCTCTGGCCACTATGTTGAATAGGATATTACCCGCTAATTCACTTCATAAGAAATCAAATCCGCCAACCCCGTCTGGCGACTGTGTTACATAGGATAGCACCTACAACTTATCTTCATACGAAATCACGTCCTCCTTTGACATTCATCTTACCTTCGGACTGATTTCACTCCCATGATTTGCCGTGGTCTGATCCCAATTAAAGAGAACCCATGCAATCCACTCCATTGGAAGAAGACAAGTTGCCCATTAGGATTGATGAACAGGTTTTAGTTTCCGATTCTTTTGGTTTCCGATTAACAGGTTTTAGTTTCCGATTCACCTGCTTTAGTTTACGATTCAGCTTTGGTTCCCGATTCCGGGTTTTTGGTTTCCGATTCAAGGGTTTTAGTTTCCGATTCACGGGTTTTAGTTTCCGATTATTTTAGTTTCCGATTAACAGGTTTTAGTTTCCGATTAACGGGTTTTAGTTTCCGATTAACGGGTTTTAGTTTCCGATTAACGGGTTTTAGTTTCCGATTAATGGCTTGACCCTATCTTACCTACCTTACCTATCTATCTTCTATGTATCTACTATCGATCTATT